ATATATATATATATATATAGTGTGTGTATACATGCTGTCTATGTAGTAATGTCTTACAAAGATTGCTACACAAAGTATCCCTAGAGCTGTCCATTGATTCAAACAAAAACAGCATCCTTCAGCTGTTCTGGTTAAACCAGCTGGTTAGGGCAGCAGGTTGACCTCCCCAATATGGCGCCCTTAATTCTATTTATTAATCCATTTAGACAGATGTTAAAAACAGGAGGGGATTCATAAATAAAATCACTAATATCAAGAATGTTTTCATATCTTTAGTAGTTTAACTGTTGGTTCGATCCATCCATTTTTATTCCAAAATTATTTAACTCAATAATATTTTATTTTTATATCATTTTCAAACAAAAAGCATCAATTGTCCTCCATATTATTCCTGCTTCAATTATTCAGAGTAAATTATATTTAACATCTTTAGCTTTTGGGTGCATTAGAAGTTTCACATAAAGAATTCTTGACTTTTCCTCTTTGTTTTATTTTAAATGTGTAAAGAATATTATTTCTATATATTTTCCTAGGGAATAAAGTGTAAATTAGATTGTTTAATTGTTGACTTTTTAAATAGATGAGTGATATTAAATGTAAGAAAGAGCAGAAAGTTTGGTTTCTCTGTTGATGTTATATCAGACTTTGACTTTCTGAAGAATAAATTATTTTTTTTCAATTGTTTAATGAATCCGATTAATTCCATTTTTAGAGGAACTTGGTTTATATTTAATGCAGAACTGTTCTTAGTTTAATATTGAGCCATTGGCATCTATTAGGTGGACAATAGATCACATGTTTCTCTCCATCCAATCTTTGTAAAGTATGTATTTATTGGGATAAAGTATGATCAAATTATTAAATATAATGGTTCCAGGTGGTGAATAATTGTTTCCATAGAGCATTTTCTACTAAAATAACACTTTTCTATGTAACCCTGATTGTTGAAAAGGCAGTTTGTGTTAAAATAATTTAAAAGAAGATATTTTAATTAAGATGTAATTAGGTACACAGACAGTGGCGGTTCTAGACCAAATGTACCAGGGGCCCAGGAGGGGGCCAGCGTGTTTTCATGGGGGGACAGAAAAGCTGGAAATAAAAAATAGGCAAAGGATTTAAATATATTAATATTGCTTCATGAAGCAAAATTTATTTTCAATTAGGTTTAATTAAAATTCTATGTCTTATTAGGTCGAAATACATTCATAATTTAGGAATTTTACAAATTTTTTACTTAATTTAAATTAAAATGACTGTTTTCTATAAAATCTGAATTAGAACTCAAGAAAAACAGATAAAATCTCCTGTAAAAATGTAAGTATTTTTTTATTTGTTTTGAAAAAAATATTTGAATGAAAACTGGGATCCTATCTCAGTACCACTGAAGCTATCACCTTATTGTTTTTTTTTTAATAATTAGTAAAACATAAAAAAATGAAGTAGATCCAAAGGAGCTTTCAGTAACCATGTCTGTTCCAGCGCAGATCATCATGATAATTTCTTTGAGTATTATGTCTTCAGTACAGGGGCCATGACAGGGGCCGGGGCATGATTGGTTCCTATAAAGACATGATCTACAGGGAAAATGGCCCCCGTTGGCCCCTGTCTAGAAGCGCCCATGGACACAGTAGCAGAATAATGGAACCAATTCATTTGAATCTTCTATGTCTTTGAAAGCAGCTCTGTTTGCAGCTGTGGCGTTCCTCCACCCACAGGAGAAGACAGGTAGACGTTTTCCTGCCTCCCTCCAGAGTCCATCTGAGGATTCTCGTACGCAGAACCAGCCGCGGCGTCTAATCCCTGGTTGATGTATCTGGCCTCCTGCCAGGCTTCCAGGACGGGCAGCTCAGACAGAAGAACTCCTAGAGCTTCATGCAGATCCCTGAAGTCCGGCCTCAGACCCGGCTCTGGATCCCAGCAGCTCTTCATGAGTCCATAACTGATGTGAGGGGAGGACAAGAGAGAGAGAGAGTCACACGTTTCACGGATTGTTTCAGGAATTTTTTGTCATCAAGAGAAAGGAGGACGAACTGACAGCTTGGGATCGCAGTCTGCAGGCGCTTTGAGTCGGAGTCCTGACAGCAGCAGGTCCAGCAGCTCGTAGTTGTGTACGGCAGGATATGGAGTCCTTCCTCTGGACACAATCTCCCACATGGTTACTCCGAACGACCACTATGATGAGGGCGCAAACATTTTGAAAGGATTAGGCGAATGAAGCTGCGCTGCGTTCACACCAATGCAGAGAGAAATCCAGATGTTATCCTGATGAAAAAGGCGATCAGGATCACATGCAAATAGGACTTTGGGTCCATTATATTTACAAAGAACACATTTTGAAAATGAAAAATAGTGATAATTATAATATTACAACTTTATTCTCATAATGTTACGATTTTATTCTTGTAATTTTATGACTTTATTCTCATAATGTTACGATTCTACTGTCGTCATTTTACGACTTTATTCTCGTAATTTTATGACTTTATTCTCATAATGTT